GATTTAAAATTTGTCCCCTTTTTTTACTAATACTAATTAAAAATATTTGTCACGGCGGATTTTATTAATAAATTCGTGCCACAGTGTTAACGGATTTTTGATTGGGAACCTTCTATATGACTACTAATCTTACCACAGCGGATTCACGTGACATATAAATTTATAAAATTATCCGAATTACTAAAATAGGCAACAAAATTTACAAAATTTTCTATTATTTGTTCAAACGTTTACAAGTAACAAAATTTTCCAAGTTTCTAAAATAATTTATCAAATGCTTGCGAGTAACAATATTTTTTAAGTTTCTAAATAATTGATCAAACGTCTGCAAGTAACAAACAATTAAATGAATTATTTGTTAAAAAGTTTACAAGTAACAAAATTTTCCAAGTTTCTAAAATAATTTATCAATACAAATAATTAAATAGATTGTATGTTCAAATATTTGTGAGTAACAAAATCCCAAGTTTCCAAATAAATAACTGAAAGTTTTTAGACAATAAAACGAACAGGATTTATTATCCTTCTCCAAAGATCAAAATTTCAAAATGTATAAATTAAGATGAAAATTTTGTTTATTAATTTTACAACTATAATCGAAAAAAAATAATGAAAAATTAATACAACCAAATATTTCATCTTATTTCAAAAAATAGATTTTTAATTCCTGCATGTATATATTAGTATCAGGTTATTATGATCTATTACTATTTATTAAAAAAAAATTTGTCGATCATGATCATCACCATAGCGGTCACAACGGATTTTTTTGGCTGGTCCCATCAATCCGCAGTGACGAGGTTTGACTGTATTATTAATATTAATATTAAGTGTATAATTATTAGAAGAAAGCGTCAAAGATAAAAAAAAGCAACATGACTGTTAAAGATGGGAGGGACAACTACCCCTAGATGATTTGATACTGGGAAATTTACAAACATTGAAGTAGATTACCTTGAATACTTTAAAACATTACAGTCATTGTCACTTTCCTCGTGTGCATAAAGGCTAATCTGATCAGTGTGCTAAATTTTCAGGGGGGACGTGTCCCTGAAGTTTACCAAAACTGCATCATTTTCAAGGACACTTTTATGAATCCTAATCTTCCCTCTCCGAGAAGGCAGAAAAGTTTCCTGTAAAAATCCTATTTCTAGGCTCTGCAACTAAGAAATTGCAACTCAGGTTGCAATTTGCTTCAAACTCAAGCGATTGCAATTCAGAGTGAGGTTGGGACTCTGAAATTGCACTTGGACTCTTTCTTTTCAAAGAGCCTGCTGTATGTCTTCTACATTCTGGCATTATGAGGAAAGCCATAAAATAGTGTATGTTCCATATAATTAATTATTTTTCTAAATTATCAGTATCAAATTCTAACGAAGCATTACCAGTTAAAAATTTACGCTAATACTAGGTTTTATGATTCCTGAAAGATTTTGTAGAGTACTTTCTATTTACCAGAACAACTTTTGCAACTCATACCAGATATTGCTAAATTAAGTTTTTTTATCATTGTTGTTGTTGGTGTTGGTAAAGGAGAAGGAAAAGAAGGAATTTTTTCATTTACAAGTGGGAGACGATGATGAAAATGTCAAGAGAGAGAAGACGAAGCGGTAAAGTTTGGAGGCAATGGATTTGAAAAATATATTTTTTAAAAAAAATGATTGCATTTAATATTTTTATTAAAGATCAAAAATCATCTTTTTGTGAGGAGTTCTTTAATATATCATTAGCAAAAATAACTCATGGTCGAATCATTAAATTAAAATATTAATAAAAGAAAAGAAAAAAGGCGTGCGTTTATTTTTTAAAAAAGTCATGTGTAAAATTCTGAATTTATTGTGTTTCAATTCATATAATATTGATATTAATATATTAACAATTCCGTGGAAAAATTCATTCTAAATTAATTCATTGTTTGTTTGTTATTTTTGCCTCAGAGAAATATTAACAATTTTATTTTTTAACCGATAATTCGCCGTCAGAAAATGATTCCAGATATGACAGACAAACAAACATAATATCACAACGATATTTATTTATATATATTTTACTTGCGCTGCCTTTATGTCTTTAAGGAAAGGACTTTTTATTATTATAAACTATTAAAATCATATTTGATCAGAATAATTTTCATTGAAAAAGAACAGTAATAGTAAATATATAATCAATGTCAATGATCAATATTTCTTTATTCTTATAAATCCATAGATAATGATTTCAGCCTGAAAAACTTGATTTTAATGGAATTTATATGAAATTAGACTGCAGTTAATATTAATTTACAATTTGGTTAGCGCATGCGCATATTACGCGATTGGTGACATTTTTTCAGTTTTCATTCATTCATAATAATAATGTATTTTTTTCTTACACAGAAAATAACTTTTCTAAAAATGTGTTACATATTTATATTTAATTGAATTCTATAAAGGTAAACGTTATAATTAACTTTTCCAACACAAAATAATTAACGAAAGTTAGCGAAAAAATACAATTCGATTAAACCAGTGTTTGGAAAGAATACTTTGGGACCAAAAAATGTTTCATAAAATTGATTGATTATCAGTTTCTTTTTTCTTATCCTTATTTTGATCATAAGCACTCACTCCCCCAACAATTTAATTAAAAAAAAAGTCACTTGATTAAATCAAGCCTTTTTCAAAACACTTCCCTAAACAATTTAGAATTAATCCGTTATTGTTTTTGAAAATGTAAAGATTCTTTCCTGACTAATAATTTGGGAATTAAGTCCTTATTGTTAATATTAAACAACCATGCCCTTTTGAAAATGTAAAGAAAATATTTTTCCTGCCACCAACAATTCGGAATTAATTCATTATCACGGTAGCAGAATTTAAAAAATGCGCAACATTACTATTATTAAACGATCTGAAACACATAAACATCCATACTTTTCATCCATCCCTTTTCTTTGTATATTCATCATCATCAGTAGAAGTATCATCATGATGTTTATTTTCATCTAAAGTGTTCTCCGTAAATTTTTTTTATAATTACAATTTTATAAGGACAAGTGGAAACTCAAAATAATTATTATTTGGAATATTAACATTTATGAATTACACAATTCGGCATTACGTAAATAAATTTGCCATGTTCTTGTTCTGATTTAGAAAGAGCTTGAAAGGCTTCTCGTAATTCTGCAAACTCTTCTTTTGGAATTTTTGATGAACAACCACAACCATAACCCATTTTTAAAAATCAATTGCTTCATAATATTCATCAGAACAATTATATTTATTATTCTCCATTCACTTAATAATAACTAGGCCCCGAAATATATCTACAGAGGTCGAGTGTTACCAAATTAGGAAATAACAGCTCAAACTTGACTTCTGTAGATATATTTCGATGTCCTTAATGACCCTATATAAATAAGTTTTATCTTAACAATATTATACCACATATTTTCAAATTAATCGTTTAGTGCCATGAACTGCTGCAGTCGTAATGTCAATAGTTATCATACTAAGTAGCAAGAAGGTATATATAGGAGGATTATTTATACGAAAAAGCGTGGTGATTAACAAATAGTAAATTCATTGATCCTTGACGATTAAAATCACTCACTCATTCTTGTAAAATTTACCTTTCATAAAGAATCAACACAGATAATAATAATTTTTAATCTTGATTATTGGTCACATACTAATGCAAGAACAGTATTTTCAAACGGGCATCACTTACCTCATTCACATTCTCCCGGTCTGTCTTAGGATGAAGGCTTCTTTGATTCCGCCCAACTTTTCTAACGCAGGATCAATTACTGTTCATGCTTACGCAAATGCATGTTGAAAAACTGACAGAAGACGCTACAAAAGAAATTGTCGCTTCCAATTAGTACCTGCTCCAGTATTTTCAACATGGTCGTGAGCGCATACCTGTTTGTAAAAATTAAGTTAATGACAAACGCAAAACCTGACCGCTAGAAATGTTTGTGCACGGAACAAAAATGTTGGAATATCACGTGAAGGTGATTTTGACCAATAAAATTTGAGGGAAAATTATTATCTTTTTGATCGCCCCTGAGGAATAGATACCATTTTTGGTAAGCTAATATAGTCATACGACCAGCCAAAATATTCTATGGTAGAACTCCTTCGTCGTAAAGTTGTAAAGTAATAGTAATAGTGAACCCCAATTTTTTAAATGTGCAGAGTTAAAGATAATTCGGCGTGATTCATCAAAATTATTATTGATTGTTGTATTAATTAGGGAAATAATATAAAATCATGTTAAAACAATTGTTCTTTTAAATTAAATTTTCCTTATTAACTTGATATGACTAACATCGCCACTCTATTATTAGTTATAAAAAACGCCTTTTTCCCAAGCCAAGAATTTTATTTTTCAGGTATTTGGGAGAAAACAGTAAAAAAATTACAACTAGAACAAAAGGGAAGATATCGTTAAGCTGAAAAGGCAATTAAGTATTTAAAAAAGAGAAATCCTAATACTAAAGTGAAAACATCATTCGAGTCAAGTTAATGAATTAGAAAAAACAATCCCAAATTAGTTAAACAAGAGAAAATTATCCAAAAGCCGAATTGAAAAATAATCAAGCGAAGGCCAAAGCAAAAAACAATAAACTTGAGCATGAATTTAATAATAAGATTTATTTGATGAAAATAGCGATCAAAAAAATATAAAAATTAATTCCAATTTTTATTTTTAATATAAATATTTACAAAACAGATAAATGCATGTGTGCTATGACGAAAAATTATTTCTCGTTTTGTGTAAATATAGATTTGTAATTAATAACTAATTTGGATGGAATTTAAAAAGTTATATAAATATTAAACAATGTAAAATATTAAATATTAAATTACTCTGAAGAAAAATAACCTTTCTTTCTTTCTTACCAGTAATAATAATAATAATAATAATAGTAATAATAATAATAATAATAATAGTAATAATAGTAATAAAAAATGGCCAATTCAACAAAATGCTTCAAAATAATAATTTTGCTCATAATGATTACTACAATTTTTATCGAACCAATTTACACGTCTTCAATTATAAACGATCTTAACAAAAGACAATATCCTAGTTCACAAGAATCAAAGGTACCAGAGACCTCACAAGTACAAACAGAAACTATAAAACCACCAGATACTTCGGTGTCATCACAAGTTCCTGATGCCTCGCCTACTCCAGTAACCCCAGTAACCCCAGTAACTTCGCAAACTACAGATAATCCAATTACAACAACAACTCCGATTGACACCAGCACGCCTGTGTAAATAGAACAAAATTTTCATTTTTATTTCATTTTTCACTTTTCATTTTTTTTTCATTTACCTTTCTCCCAACTATTACATCCATTTTTTCCTTGACAGTCCAAATACTACCAACCCTTTAACATCTGTGTCAACTACTCCAGTGGATTCAACTATACCATCATCGCCAAAAACAACTGTGAGTAATAGTAATACCGCCACTATATCAAATACTACCATCACAGGAAACACTACAACATTATCGACTACAACAGTAACTCAAGAACCCATCACAACACCAACTCAAACAGTAATAACACAAAATGGAAAAAGTGAAACAATTACAAAGTTTACAACAACTCTGACAACTATGACAGAGACAATACCTGGCTATACGACAATCACAAGTACGACAGGAACAAACGGTGAACTGACAACTTTTGCAACTTATATACCACCAAGTACTGTGGTGGTCGTTAAGAAGACAATTGCGCCAGCTAACCAAGAATCTAAGAATAATAATAGTAATTCTTTAAAGCCGACATTGGAATATAACATTATCAGTATTATTATTAGTGTTTTAGCAATAAGTTCAACTTTTATTTTTATGATTTACATGTGAACATCTGTATTTAATATTATCAAAAATTTTTATCGCTTTTGTACTGTATTACTATGCAACCATTTAGATTATTTTTGTTTCTTGTTCCATAGTTTTTCATTATTGCGAAGGGTAAAAGTTTTACGTTTAGGAGCATTATATGACATATCCAATTAACCTAGCTTTATTTATTTAAATAAAAAGATATGATCGGTGTCACACAGACTTGCCTTGACATCACACAAATTCGTCTATAATAATATGGGGCATGCTGCGACGGGATCCCACAACTTTATAGATATGTCGGTAACAAATATTCCTGTTTGTTATATGATTTGACCCAGACCAAAAATTAAGTAATATATAACCCTAAGGTTTGCAATAATATTAGAAAGAACATAATTTGACCTATATAATTAAAATTTTCGAAACTGTCTACTGTA